CCCCAGCCTGTCTGAACTTCCGGGCGCCTCTCCCAGAGCATCTGGCGGGAGGCGCAAGGGGCAGAACGGGGCGTGTTCTAGGGCAGACCCAGCCCGGTGCTATCAGTGAGACGCAGCCTTGCGGCCCTGCCTGACGGGTCCCTCTATTTCAGGGCATCATTGCTACTACAGGACCTGTACAATCATCCTAGGAGTCGTGTCCTTAGGTCTCCTCATCACTGGGGCGCCTCTCCCAGAGCATCTGGCGGGAGGCGCAAGGGGCAGAACGGGGCGTGTTCTAGGGCAGACCCAGCCCGGTGCTATCAGTGAGACGCAGCCTTGCGGCCCTGCCTGACGGGTCCCTCTATTTCAGGGCATCATTGCTACTACAGGACCTGTACAATCATCCTAGGAGTCGTGTCCTTAGGTCTCCTCATCACTGTTGCTGTCCAGGCAGGTGAGTTCTCAGCCCATCCTGCCTGCCTCTCTGCACGTAGAAAGAGGTTTACTGCTGTTGGAAAAAGCCCTGTGTTCTTTCGACTTTTTGCCGAAAGAATGCAATTGCAGTGTGGATGCAAGTATTGTTTTTCTGAAATAACAGCTGTTACTCTGGGAAAATGCAGCTGTTTAGACGTAGCCTTCATGTCTGTTCAGCCCCGTGGGTGCAGCTACTAAGTTACTGTGGTGCAAAAAAGGTCCTATGCTCAAAAATTCCTGGCGGGATCTGACTCAAAAACTTCCTGCCCCAGTGAAGACGGTCTAAGAAAACACTCCCTTTGGAGGCTGAGAGGAAGCAGGAGGGATTACTGCAAGAGAAAACCAGTAACTGAAATGGAATTTAGGAGGATTTAGCAGTTCTTCCCCAATAATCGCACCTCTGGTTATTCATCCCCTACAGTGGATGTTAGTTATAATGAGCCTATTGCTGCTGTCCGATGGCACTGAAATGGGTAAACTTCCCGCTTCTCTGTTTTTTTGCTGTGTTAAGGGGTGTGTCTAAACTACATGGCTCCGTCGATGGAGCCATGTACATTAGGGTGATTGGCAGAGGGAAATGAAGCCGCGATTTAAATAATCGCGGCTTCATTTAAATTTAAATGGCTGCCGCGCTCTGCCGACCAGCTGATGATCAGCTGTTTGTCGGCAGATCGGGGCAGGCTGGACGCGCCGCGCCGACAAAGAAGCCTTTCTTGATCGGCACAGGTAAACCTGGTTTCACGAGGCATATTATTATTTTAATCGCGGCTTCATTTCCCTCTGCCGATCTGGCTAATCTACATGCCTCCCTCCACGGAGGCATGTA